AAAGAAAGAATGAGAGAGAACTCCGGTGGTTTCGTTTGTTACATTCGCACGTAGAGCCCGCTCTCATTGTCGTACTTAAATCGTTACGCACGCGACGAGTCCGTGAAAACTTTTATCCCACCTACGGTTTGCGACGGCTTAATGACATTGTACGTTAAATCTAACGGCGTACCTTTATCGTATAGTTTTTCATGCCACGACGGTTTAACGTCAAAAGGTTGTTTCTCTATATTCGCAAAAATAATTAGTGTTTACCGAGTAATTATGGCGTACCGGCGTAAAAGCAGAGACACAGAAAGAGAGCGAGAAACAGAGAGGGAGAGAGAGACAGAGAGATAGAAAGAGATAGAAAGGGAAAAGCGAGAGCGAGAACGGGAGAGAGAAAGAGATGGAAAGAGAAGTCAAGCGGATATTTAGCAACAGGCGCTTCATGCGAAAATACGCTTTTCGCGGAGCTTCCACTTTATTCGCGAGACAACTCTATTTTTTATTCGCAAATAAATGTGTAGTCCCCTCTGCCGGCCCTCCCGCCCCCACCCCACTCCAGCCCCGCTGCCCCCGGAGCCCAGTTCTCTCTTCACCCCGTCACCGAGCATTCCCACGTTCCGTGGCTGCCTCGGTCGCCTCTAAAAATAATATTTAACGTACACGTAATGTGGACCCTGCGGGACAGGAGGTATATTTTGACAACGTTGGTGCCCCCTGACGACTGCAATGTTTTTGTTCCCTTCGAGCAACACGAACCCGCGGCAGCCTCTCACTCGTTCGTTCGTTCGTTCGTTCGCGCAAGTATTCCACTTCGCGAGAAGGAGATGATTAAAAAACGCTACTGTCCCACTATTTATGTTTTCCTAACCATCGGCGAGTCCTTGGAGGAGGGCAAATAGAGAGGATGAAAAATTCATGCTCGTGTCCACGTACTTAAGTCGAATTTCAGATTTATCTGAGAAATACGATATTAAGAAAATATTGATATGAATTTGTTGATTTATACAATATCGATGGAATTTGATATGTGTGTTACTACCGAAATATAAATTATACTTTATAATTTATTTTTCAAAATAGGAAAAAGATAGAAAGTGGTGAATTCTGTGGAGTAGGATTAAGAAGGTTAGATCTGTCCGTTCTCGGGAAAAAGGAAAAGGGACCTCGGTTGAGAAATTCATTCATACGTACATAATTCGATATACATAGATGCGCATAAAATGAACACCGCGTCGGGGTAAGAAAGATAGTGAGGAATCTAACGTAGCGTTCCACGTATGCGTAAAAATATATCTGCATGCATGTGTATTCCTGCATAAGTATAGGCTCGATCGCGTACCATCTCGATCGGTGTATTCCATCTACATGGTAGATTCAAAAATATAGGAAAGAAGGAAGAGAGGTGGTTGAAGGAAAAAGGGGGAGAGAGATTCTCAAGTATAAAAATATCCCATAAAAGATACTTTGAATTTTATATTTCCTTCGAAACGGTCAACATTTAAATGAGATGGCCGAGCTATCGATCGATCTGGTCGAAACTGCCTTTTCCTGGCTTTCTGCTTTCACCGAATATCCGAGGGATGAAATCTTATCAAGAGGGTAACTTGAAAATGAGATGTTCGCGAATTTACGAAGGGTGACTTCGCCAAATGAACATCGGCTCGGTGGTATCTCTCGCAACGTTCGACGTTCAATTCTCCCTTTTCGAAAAAATATTTCGTCATAGTTTCGATATAATCTTGATATTATAATACAAACTTTTGAAAAAATCTTCAAATTGTTTCTTCGCGATATACTTTTTATTAAAAATTATTAAATAGATAATATATATATATATATATATTACGAGATACGCGTTCTCACGAGATATTATTTTTGGTTATTCACTCGAAAAGAAAGATCTGGATACGTATAGGAATATCGAACTTTTTTGATAATCAATGAGATGTCCGGCGTTCGGTCCCTTTTATTCACCTCGGCTTTGAACACGTTTTTCGAAGGACCAGCAGCGTATGGATGGGTATGCACGATCGAAACATCATACGCGTCATTCATTCCGGCCTTTAAAGCACGAATCACCTCTCCCGTCTCTTCCTCTGTCTAACCATTTTCAGTCCTTCGTTTTCATTTTTATAAATAAAAAGGATATTGATAATATTTTTTAAAAATATACATTACCGTAATATTTATATGTGTTGCCTATACGTCAAAAGTATACGTATCGAATTTGTAATAAAAATAAAATTGTATCAAATAATATTTGTTAAATGATATAAATTGTGTGCGGTAAAAAAAAAAAAAAAAAATATGAAACAAATTTATTTCCCGTTAAAATATCTGAACACAAAAGGATTAAGGTAAAGTAAATTATTATCCAAGATTTAAACGTGCGTACATGTAGGATGTTGGTAAATAACGAATGTATGTGGAGATTAAACGAGGTGAAAAAGAAGAAAAGATAAAAGTGACAATAAGAAGTGGGAAAAGACTGGAAAAAGGAAAAAGAAAAGAAAAGGAAGGAAAGGAAAAAAAGGACCAAAACAAAAGGGGGAAAAAACAGAAGAAAAAGAGAGAGAGAGAGAGAGAGAAAAAAGGAGAAAAAGAGAGAAAGATAGATAAAGGAGACATGGTCGAGGGAGCAAGGACGAAAGCCGTGGAGGAAAAGGGTCGGCGCTTTTCCAATAATCTCCGCAGCAAAACGCGATTTATACGAAACGGTAAACTTAATAACGCAATTTCGCGGAGGACACGCGGCGCTGTCGGCATCGAGCAATTTAAATAAACAAATTATAAATATTCGCCCGCGCAAAACCACCTCAGCATGAATAATCATTACGTCGTAGAGAGATAGGAGGCAAGGCACTGGGCCGATTCGATTGATTAAATTTTTAATAATTCATTTGCATTCGACCGCGCGCATACCATCGTTCCACCCCCTTGGTGTCCCTACATCCCTTCACCCCTTTCCTCCTATCACCACCAACTTCTCCTCCTCCTCCGATTCGCCACGCTTCTCCGTGGACTTCGCTCTCTTTCTCTCTCCCTCCCTCCCCCTCTCGGCCCATTCTCTCACTCTCTCTCGCTCTCTCTCTCTCTCTCTCTCTCTACGCTGCGTGTACCTTCTCTGCCTCTTTAATATATTTTTAAATTACATTTTTAATTAACGCCATAAATGAATTATCGATTGTTTCGCTCTTAACCGTGGCTGGAAGCGCTGGGTTTATTACTAATGCGACCCGAACGAGTTCTCTCGTTGCATCGAAACAAATTTCCGGAGAGAATCGAAGAAATACGTCCGAGGGAAAAAGTATCTTTTTTTTTTCTTTCCTTTTCGAGCATCGATCTCCTTCGATAGAGATCAACGTTGTTTTCTTTTTTTTTTCTCTTGTTCTTCCTTTTTTCTTTTTTTTTTTTTATTTTCATCGAGATACCAAAACGATAGAGGTATGGAACTTATTGACTTTAAGTACCTCGGTGCTATTCGTGATCGAGCTCGATTAGGCGAGGACTTTTCAAGCGAGTATGTCAAGATTTTTAGATACCTTCGCGACGAGAAGGAAAGGCTAGGTTTGGCTTTCCCTAGTCTGGATAACGAGCAAAGTTACACTTAGTTAACGCTACTCAGTTGATTACCTTTCCAATCGACACGATGTTTGCAATCAGCCAGGTTTGATTAGGTTGGTTACAGTCTCTCGAACTCCGCGTGCACGTCCAAACGTATAAAACTTCCCTTTTTCCACGAGAACTTTCGCGTAAATAGGGAGAGAACATTCCACGACTGTGAACGTATAAAATTGGAAATAATCAAGAAGATTTAACGGCATCTTTCTTTCTATTCGTACAATGTTAGAAGAAAATGTGCAAATAGTTAACGAAATTATTTATTGTTCATCCTTACCGATTCAAAATATGTATAGGTATATTTATATATTTTTTTTTAAATATATTCATTAAAAATATATATAAGTTATATTATATATTAGGTAATTATGTATTAAACGTTCGATTAATTAGATTATTTTCAGTTCGAAATAGAATATCACATACTTACTGATCAAATAATTTATATTTTTTTCAAATATATACATATATATTTTTCTACACAAGTTTATCGATAACGTAATGGTTGACCCTACCTTCGATCAAATCTAAATTTTTATTTCATGTTTCTTTGTAAATGCTAAAAAAAAAAGAGAAATAATAAAAAAAATAGGATAAAATAAAATGTTTTCCACTACTCTTAAACGATATCTATAATAAATTAGAATAATGACGAGAAATCTCAATCACTGTTAAGTGCTTTTTGCATGATTACCAATACGAAAAATGATCGTGGAACAATTTTTTTTAATGGATAAAGATACGATATGTATATAACAGATTCGTATCGATCGACGAACGAATTTTCATACACCTGACTTTCACATACTACTACGAATTATGGATTGATATCGCTTCTATTAATGTACATCTTTCACAATATCAGCAGAGAGTTTTCATCGGACATGTACACACAATTTGGCGCGGCCAAATTTGGCAAATATTTTAATACCGTTTCATCGATCTGAATTATTACGCGTCACAGTGCCCGTCGAGGTCGATTTAAGGTACTGAAAGATTCATTTGATATCACGCGACGGTACGGTTTCGATCTGTTCGTCTACGAGTCAGAACGATCTACCATTACAAAGAATTTATTTAATCTTGTCTCAAAACTAGAATTATATTTTCAATGATATTAAAACGAACAAAGAATATCTATCAAATAATGTATTCTAGCTTTTTATTTGCTAAACAAAATAAACCCGTAGATTATTTAAGAGACTAGAACGAGTAACAAGATGAACAAATTCGATCCTAAATCTAAAGTTAATATTTAAGACAAATTCGAGCAAAGATATTTCCTATATATGAAAGGCAAGACGGAAAGGAGATTTCTTCGTTCACAAACTGAAACGAAGTCATCGATGTATGAACACGTGCACATGCACACATACACACACATTTATACATATACATATATTTTATATATGTACTTTATATAATATATATATATATATATATGAATGTATGTACGCAAAGGTTATCGCGTGCGAATAGGGAGAACGTGGGATCGAAATCCGAATCTCATAACTTCCGGTCCGACGGCGGTCGACTCAATATTCAAGATGACCATCGGACGGGACGGATGTGACGTCATGCTTCGTCGCCGCCTCAAGCCATATTAGATCGAGGAGTTTCATATTGCTTCACAGTGAACTCGAGATCTCGTCGACTAGGAGTTTATCTATGGTTCAGCTCGTCTCGTAATAATGTTCATTGGAGACGAGAATCGTCACTGGCTACCACCATCGTCGTCTTCTTCCTCTTCGTCCTAGTCGTCCTACAGGACTTTACCTTTCTTCTTCTTCTTCTTCTTCTTCTTCTTCCTTTCTCCCTTCCTGTCTACCTTCCGACCTTCCTTCCTTGACCATCCATCCACCTACTCCCTTCATCGTCCTTTCGTCTCTAGAACGTAAACGTTAATGACGTCGATTGTGAAGAAGTTCCTCGTCCCAAACCTGCAAACAGTAAGACCCTTCAATTCTCCACCCTCTGTCCCTACCTACCCTACTCTATTCGAATCACAATGCTTCTTCCTTTCGATAAACAACAATCTGCGATGCTTCGGTCACATCGATTTTGCCACCAGGAAGAATGGATTTATAAACGGAGACATTGATAGTAGTTTGTTAGGATCTTCCAATGGGATACGAGGAAAGATCGTGTCAATATTATCTCTATCCTGTAAATTTGTTTTACGTATTCTATTAAATATCTCACACATATATAACTTTTGCTTTTGGCAAATATTTCTTTTTTTTTTTTTTTTTGATACAATTATATTAAAAGATGAAGATTTAAAATAAGATCTATATATAATCAATGGAAACAAAGTAAAGTAATCTGTCATAAGTTTTAATCTTTGCAATTATTTTGATTGAATTCATTTAATCTATAATATTTTTTCTAATAATGATGGATCATCGCGTAAAATATCGCGCCTTGTAACATTATTGTAACTTTGAAAAAAGATACTTTTGTAGCCATTCGCGTTAATCCGAGCATTCGTAAAAGTACTTAACTTCAATCGACGTTTCAACGATCTCCCCTTTCAAAGGTAGACACGGGTAAAGAACGAACGGGTCGGTACTTCGGTGCAGGCGCACCGAAGAAAACTGACCTGCCTCTAAAGTGGCCCCAGGCGACAGTTTTTTGTCCGCATTCCGGGCAAGGCCGCAAGCGTGGACTCAAGCCGATTCCAAGAATCTATCTAGGTCACTGGCACGCCGTTTCTGGAAAGTATTCTACAAAGAAAATCCTTAGACTCTACTTTTTGAATGGTGGAACATTCTTTGATTTTTCCCGATCGAATGTTAGAAAATGATTTTATAAGGTATTTTTATAAATGATTTAAGAAAGAAGAGAGGTGTAAATTATTTATTTCATATTATTTTGTTACATTTGTACAAGATTTTCTAGATAATTGTGAAAAGTAATTTGGCTTCATTGATTATATAAATAATCTTTAACATTTATTATTAATAATAATAATAATAAAATCGTGTTAAATATAATCGTGTTAGAGTAAAATACGAAAAGAATTAAAATTCCCAAAAACAATAAGGGAATCTTTCAAAATCTTAAGGTTTCCAATTTTCTTCGCGTCTAAAGACGAAAAATCATTGAAGGTAGGCACTAAGTAATACGTTGCCGTCGGATAGTCGTCGTTTTGAAATTCCTTCGGAGTTGTTAGTCGGGGACGCGCCGGCGCGCGTCCGCTCGTCGAACGGATGGACGGACGGGCGGTAGTGCGCACCCGAAAAAAAAATCATTTGCACGGTAATTCGAAGCCTGGATTTCAGTCGATAAAAGGATGCACACACGCCGCGGCGCATACAGAGGGAAGAAACAAATGAACAAATTCGCGTTTCAGAATAATGCCCGGCAATCCCATCTACCCGCCTCTCTACTATCCACCTGCCCCCCTCCTGCCCCTCACTCCTCCAGGCTCCTCTCACTGTCCTCTCTAACTCTCTTTCTCTTCCTCCCACTGTTCTCTCTTCTCGTTCTCTATGTAGCCGTCTCTCTCTCTTTCTAACGCGTACACTTCGTACTCGGTGGCCGCAAGCCCCTCGCACACCGTCCGACCGAGTCGTCGTCTATCTCTATCTCTCTTTCTCTCAAATTCGTTGAACGTCTCTCTCCTGGATCTTCCATCTCGCTCGTACCCAGGACTCGATGCGCGACCGTAGCTATTCCCCGCCTGCACCACCACCGCACAGAGCCGCGCAACTCCACAACCCTACTTTTTTCATTCCGTCCTATCAATTGATCAGGTTTTAAATTTCCGCGTCCATCCGAGCCGCGCCTGCTCCTCTACCACCTTCTACGTTTCCTCCTCCTCCTACTCCTCTTCCTAGTCTCACCATCGCCTCCACCCAAACCACCCATCTACCCACCGATCAACCTCTCTTCTTCCGCCTCGTGCGTCTCTCGTCGTCCATACACCTCCACCTCCGCCTCCACCTCCATCTCCACTACTACTACTACTACTACCACCATCACCATCACCATCACCATCACCAACACTATTCTACACATCTACCACTACTACCACCACAGTTACCACCACTACTACCACGTAGCAATCGTATCGCCCGATCTTCACTCTCTCTCTCTCTCTCACACTCTCTCTCTCTTATTCTCTCACTCACTCTTTCTCTCTCTTCCGTAGAGTCTCTCTCACTCGCTCCGGCACGCTCTCTTACTCTCTGTTTAATTAAAAGGACACATTAAATTATTTTTTCAATTGAACCCTCCATTGTTACTCGCAGACTGCTGATTCTATCCAATCGTTCTCTTTTCTATCCCCTTTTACCGCTCGCTACTCCAACCGAAGTTCCACCCCGCCCCCCGCTGTCCCCGTACCCTTCCCCAACCCCGTTCGATGCTGCGAATTCTTTTTCCTCCTTTTTTTTCCGTTAGCGTTAGAAGCTTTGTCCGGCTACGCCTGCGCCCTTGTGTACGACTCGTACGCGAGAGCGTAAATATTCCCGGCGACCAACGGTGCCCGAATTGATGGTGGGTGGCTTTTTCGGGGGGTGGCACGACTAGGGGGCCTAGAGGGGTGCCGAGACAAAAGGGGAGCGATTTTCTATTAATTGGGAAATAGCAAAATGCGCGGACTATCGAGCACCTTGATGGCCACGACCGGTGGCGTGCGTCGAAATAGTAGGAGGAACGGACCCTCCCTCCTGCAACCCCTTTCGTACTCCTCCTAGTGGGCTGGAGGGTACTGGGTGTGGCGACAATTTTTTCAACGACGGGATTTCGTTACTCGTTCGTACTCGTTAAACGAATTCGACGGCTTTCGCGAAATTGGGAATGAGAGGGCCCTGCCGGCCGGTACCGTCGAGATATTTCGCTTACCTCTTTTTCATCTTCTTTTTTTCCTTTTTTCCTTTTTTACCTATCCCAGATAGTAACTACAACCCGACGATTCCGTTTAAAGATCTTTAGAACAAGAAATAGGTCAATTTGTTACCAATCAAATTCGTAGAGGGAATCAATTGTATCTAAGTTTTTACTGTGTTATTTATTTGTAAACAATCTATCTCTGTTAGATAGAAAATTGAATGGTAAGAGTGTCGTATATGCGTGTCATGGGTACGATTATTATCCTTTAGGAAGATCTTGTCCATCCGACATCCCAGAATCTACGAAAGCTTCGGCTTATCTCCAGGATGAATTCTCGGGATCAGAACACGACGTTTGTCATTTACACGATAGAGCCACGATTCTCGATTACTGACTGTCAATTACGATGTTAATTGATTCCATTTGATTTCCCAACCCTTCGTGGACGCTTATTGAACATCATAAACTTGTCTTTGTTCGCGTCAATGTGTGGATATCATTATCAAACGGCAGTCTTTGACGTGGGAAAGAGCCGGTTGCCGGTTCCTCCGACAATGGGAATAGAAAGAGGGATGAGGAAAATGGGAAAGGGTGAGACAAGAGACGAGGAGAAGTAGAGAAGAGACATGGAAGACCGGTAGCAGCATCGGTTACTCGATACGCAAAGCGAAGTAATTAACGCGTTCCGATATTGTTTAGAAGTTCCTATTTTAATCATCGGATTTCATTGGCCAGCCCACGTGGTCTCTTTTGAAAACATTTTCATAGGAACACGTAAAGGATTTCTCCTATTTCGTTTCAAATAATGTTATATTTATTTTATTCAAATTCAATTAATGACGTCGATCCGTTAAATTAACGCGAGCAAACGAGTTCATTTCCTTCTTTTTCTTTTGATGTTCCGTTGTCGAGCCTTCCCCTCGAAATGTAGATATAATGAATAACGTAAATAGATATTATAGATACACAAGCACGTCTTTCTCTTTTTATCTTTTACAAGAGATATGTTATTAATAAATAATAATAATAATAATAATAATAATATGCATCATTTCCGTATGATATCTGTGATGTCAAATGAATGAGTGACTCGTCAATACTTTCTCTATTCTCCATCAGCAATAATAAACAGCACGAAGCTTCTGCTTTTATTCAATCAGTGATTTATAAAAATACACACTGACAAAATTTTTACCAAATGAATTTATAATCCCTCGTAGAGAGACACGATTATTAGAATATTATTTAATTCACGTTTGTTTAATCAGTCAATAAGACTAATATAATTACTTACAAAATTATGCATTGACAACACACACACACACACATTTAAGAGTACAAATAATTTTCTTATGCTGTCAGAAAAATTTTTCATTTAACCTAATGTGTAATATGAAAATAATATGATTATGAGATACTGTACATTTTTAAGTAAATTTTCAAGTAAATAGAATTGAAGATTCCTTAGCGATAAAATAACAAGATTTGAGTTTATAAAATATTTACGAAATTGATTCTATTATATCTGTATAATCTGAGTACGCGGATGGAGTACGTTTTTTCCTTTTAAAATGCTACCGGCTTCGAGTCTACAATTTTCCGTTCCGAAGATATCGCCTTCGAAAGATTTCATTTATAATTCGTTAACATTTGTTCGTAATACACTACTTGTAGTACTAATAATAATATTTTACGAAAACTGCTTCAGTCATAAAACCTAATAAATTACAAAAATTTATATAGGTCATTACGAATTCCTAAGAAATTACGTTGGCCAGTTTGTTATAAGTAATTAAATTAAATAATTTCTTTTAAATTAATATCAAATGATCTATGTATGCATACATATATATTTGATAATTTTAAATAAACAATTTGTTGTATTTCATATAAAAAAATTTGTAATAAACAATTGCTATGATCAATATTTCTTTTTTAAATTAATCTAAAAATCTTAGAAACACGAAATGATATATTAAAATACATATATTCGACAAATCGTCACAAATATTTCTAAATAAATTTAGTTGAAATTAGCAAAACATAATTCAATTCGATTTCTGATCCACTTAAAAATGCATTCGATTAAAGTCGAATTAGGAATAACTTTCCACTTACGTACAATTTCTTACCTTCGACCCTTTAGCAACGTCAACTTACATACAAAAATGAATCCTTTACCATCTTCTTCTTCTTCTCCTTCATCATCTTCCTCTTTTTTTTCCTCTGAAACGAACATCTCGTCGAAGACAAAACTCGTGTCCCTTTACCGAAAAGGGAAGTCCTATGCGCGTGGAAAAATTGAAAGCGAACTTTCGGCGCCTACGATCTTTCACCCTTTAGATTGGACATTTCCATTAAGGATCACGGTAATCAGGAGCTTGGCCATTGTCCAAGATGGAACGACGACTCTGCAAAAGAAGAGGATAAGAGGGTGAACGGTGGATGAAGAAGGAGAAGAGTTTTCGGTGATTCCGGGCTGGGAAGGTCGGTTCTGGTTAAGCCATCTTTCTCTTTCCTTTTTTCTTTCTATCCTTCTTTATGGCCTAAAGGTAAAGGAGAGAAAAGAGAGGGAGGGAGAGAGAAAGAAAGGGTGACTCTGAAGCAGCAAGTCGTGCTTGGCTACATCGGTAATTCGGGAAAGCTAATTAAAACTTAACTCTCGCAGGTAGAAGAGAATCCTCCACCCCCCGGCTCCCCAACACCATCACCTCCACCACCACCCTCACCCCACCCGCGCATCTCTTCTACTCGTTTCTCTTCTTTTTATCTCTTCTACTACCTCCTCTCTCCTCTTCCCTCCTCCTCCTCATCATCTTCTTCTTTTTCTTCTTTTACTTTTATTTCTTCGTCCCTTTCTTATTCTTTTATTTCTTTTTCTTTTTCTTCCTCTTCTTATTCTCCTTCTTGTTCTCTTACTTTTTCTTCCATTCGACGAAGCAGAGTCTTTACTCGGTAACCGAGACAACCACCGCCGAGGAGTTAACTGAGATGAAAACCAAGCCCAAAGAGCGAGAGAACCAGCTCATTACATCTCTCGACCCTCTGTGATCCTTTTCCGCTATTTTTACTATCCCAGTCGAGTCCCTTCTTCGATTGTCTTCGCGATAGCAAATATTTTCTCTCTCTCCCTCTCTCTCTCTCTCTCTCTCTCTCCCCCTCTCTCGCTTTCCCCTTTTTCTTTCTTTCTTTCTTTTTCTTTCTCTCTTGCATTTTACTATCGTACCTCTGCATATTCCGAATTGAATTAATTGTGAGACGATCTTCCCCGAATTTTATCTTCCTTCCGTCCTTCCTTCTTCCCTTTTCTGAATTTTAGATATCTTCCTTCGAAGTTAATAAGATAGAATTTCTCCCTCGTAATCGTAACAAGCTGCAGATAAAGTGATACTATCTATATACATATTATATAAATCTTTCTTTCTTCTTTTAGGAAACTTTGAAAAATTGAAAACACAGTCAAATTTGTCGAATAAAATTAATAAAATTAAGTTCACTCTCTCTCTCTCTCTTTCTCCTTTGTAAAATAATTATCGATAAGAATGAAAGATATTGCAACGATCATTTATTTATTTGCATAAAAAAGAGAGTAAACGAGAAACGATGAAAGTACTATAAGAATAAAAAAAAAAAAGAGAAGAAGAAGAAGAGAAGAGTGTAATATATAAAAATAAAAGACAAAAAAAAAAAAACAACAAAAAAAAAGCAGTAGAAAAGAAAAAGAACAGACAGACACACACGATTTATACGTTTTGTTAGTTATACAAATCTGCCTTACTCTATTACAACTCTTCTCTTTTCTCCGGTTGATGGAATTAGCAAGGTCGACGAGGAAGAAAAAGAAAACGAAGAGAGAAAAGAGATGAAAAAGAGAGGAGTGGGGGGGGGGGACAACGATATGCATCGTTCGCGGTATCCGTCCGATCTGCGGTATCCGCATGGAAAGCGATTCATCAAAAGCTTTTCCCGCTTTCCCTCCGCTTTGGCGGCCGGATAACGAAATATTACGCAGCACCTTTCGTGAGAAGCATGGCTCTCTCGCTTACCTACCTCTATGTATATATCTATATAACGATCCTTTTCTCTTACACCGTTCTCGTATCTACTCATATTTATATCTATATATATATGTATATATATGTACAGGTATACGTATACATATACCATATGCATGTAACATACCATATATATATATGTATATGTATATATTATATTATATATACATATATGTATAAAATATCTATATCTATCTATCTATCTATCTATATATATATATAGATATATAGATATATAATACATGCGCGTAAATACGATACGAACACAAGTGAGCTGCGTAAAATCACACGCGTGTCCACCTTCTAAGCGGATACGCGGAAAACGAAGTGCGGCCTCGTAGATGGATAAACGTTAAAACGTCAGTAACTCACGATCGTGCGCTTGCACCCTCTTTTCTCTTCATCTCTCTCTTTCTCTCTCTATCTTTTTCTGGATCCTGTTCGGTCCAGTCCAGGTCCCTCTCTCGCTCTTTACATCCTCATTTTTTTTTCTTCCTTTTTCTTTTTCCTTTTTTATTTTTTTTTTTTTTTTCAAACTCTACCTCTCCGAAACGAGAAACGGGAGAAAGACAGAGACAGAGAAGAATGAACGAACGTACGAACGAACGAACGAACGAACGAACGAAAAAAAGAGAGGGAGAGAGAGAGAGAGAGAGAGAGTGAGTAAAAGAGCGAGGGAAAGGGAAAGAGAACGAGAGAGGCTTTGTGCGCGATGGTATATGCATTGTGTACATCCTGCAGGATGTACATCTAGATCAATAGCATTGGAAATTATCCAAACAAATTATCGATAGAGCGAAAAAAGCCGAGCCCCGACCAACCGAACGAACCGTACGAGGCGCTACATCACGCATAGACGGTTGGTGCGAGTGGACGTGAGAGAGAGAGAGAGAGAGAGAGGGAGAGAGAAAAAAAGAGGGTGAGAGAGCGAGAAGGGTGGATACAACGGGAGTACGCGATCGAAAGAGAGAGAAGATAGATATATATATATATATATAGAGAGAGAGAGAGAGGGAGAGAGAGAGTGCACGTGAGAGGAAGTGAGACAGAGAGGAGCGTATTAAAAAATAAAAAATTGCCGTACATTTTTCAGGCATTAACGTGTGCGTGGGTGGGTCGGGGTCGTTGCTGGGCGAAATAGGAAGAGGAGAGGTAGAGAGAGAGAGAGAGAGAGAAAGAGAGAGAGACGATTTGGTGGACAAGGGGAAGGGCTTTTCGCGGGAGAGGAGTGCAGAGAGAAAAAACGCGAAAAAAAAGCGAGAAAGGGAGAGAGAAAGAGAGAAAGAGAGAGAGAGAGAGAGAGAGAGAGAGCAGAACTCTGGTGTCCAGCCCCTGGTTACCACGTACCAAGCCAGAGAGAAGGGTGGTTACGGGGGTCGGGGGAGGAATGGACACCTCTACGTACATGTCTCCTCTCGATTGGCCTGCCATAACCACCGCCAACCACCCTCCGCTCCCCCCTCCCCCCCTTAACACCCTCTTCGTCGTAGTCCAAGCGTCTCGCGAAGCCAATTCGCAGGGCGCGTGTTTAAGGCAATTTTTCCAAATTAACTAATGTTCGACAGCGTTCGGCTGCATTTGGTCCCCGCTTTCACCCACCCCCCTACCCCGTCACCCTTCGATTTCACGAAAAAAAACTCGCGCCGAATCGGTTATTTTAATTAAAAATATTATATGTACATGTGTACGGGTTGTTCTAGTTTCGTAAGATATTTTTTTTAAATGCGTTGTTTCCGACGCGATTTTAAACATTTATTTTAAATCACGATCGCGTTTGGAAGAAAAATATGTTAAATTTAAATATACATATATATATATATATAGATATGTGGGGGTGTGTGTGTGTATATATATGTATATATTTACAATGTAGATTATTCGAAGTAAAAGAAGAAAGTTCACTGTGAAACATAAAGAAGAACGATTGGAAAAAAATGTCGAGGGTTTGTGTCGCAGCGAATGTCGTTCGTGGTCCTCGCTTTTCGTCGCGTTTGGCGGCTGGCGTAAAAATTACGTCGACTAGAGTTTATTTGTCCGGAAATGGCGGTGCCCCGGGGGTGGTGCTTCCACGGTTATAGGTGCGGGGTAGAAAAAAAGGGGACTGGCGTAGATGGTGGAGAGGAGGGTGGAGACAGAAAAAGTGAGAGAGAGATAGATAGAGAGAGAAAAAAAGATCGGCAGAGAGGGAAAAAAACGAGAGGAAACGAAAGAGAGAGAGAGTGAGAGTGAGAGAGAGAGAAAGAGAGGTGGATGTGAATAGAGAGAAAGAGAGGATGCACGTACGTACCTACACGGCTTGGTTGATGTATTGCGTATTATTTGTGTGTTGCGTTCGTTGCTGCATTGCGCGCTTTTTTCTGCTCCCACCGCCTATTATTTATTAGCACTAACGTGCAATTGTATTGATCTGCAATATACCACCCGCCCGGTACCACCCACGCCGATGGATTTTTTTCCTCTTTTCCAGGATGTATCCGGATCCGCCGTGGGGATGGAAGTCCGCTACGATTGGCCCCTATGATGGAGGAATCGCTGATGCTACACTTTGCAAAACGACTTTGTCGTTCCGCCATAGAATGCCGTTCGATTGCTTTTCTTCGGCGATCGAATTTCGTGCCTGCTATTAAAGCTTTCGATGGAGATCGAGATTTATTGTTCGTTAATGTCTTACCTTGATTATACGAGATCACCGTAGTATCATCTTGGTTTTCCCATAAATCATCTTGGATTTTTACTGAATGACAGAGTTAGGATTTTTGTTTGTTTTTACAACTAAACTACAACAACTTTCTTTCCTGTTCGTTCTAACTATTGCTCATATTTTTGGCTAAACTTAAAGGAAAACAAAAATATTGAACAAATTACGAATACGGTTTAACGAAAAGTATATTGGAATTGATGAACAACGAGATAATAATGTCCGATCGAATATTACTTAAATACGCGAACCGTCTAACGACGAAATCTCCAAGATGATAAATGAAAAATCATTGGACTTTTAAAGAACTCCCGGTCCCGTTTGACTGATCTCGATCGGCATGGGAAAAACGACAGGATGACATCGGTGGGGAGATATCAACAAAGTAAATCCGTTCGTAAAGCATCGGCGAGCGCTATTATATCGTCATCACAACGATACATCGGAAAATCAACAGGGTAACGATACACCCAAAGCCGAGCCAGGCTCTGAGAGAGAGGAAGATGAAAATTGAGAGAGAGAGAGAGAGAGAGAGAGAGAGAGAGAGAGAGATACACATACTCTGACAAAGAACGGGTCCCACGTGGCGAAATACAATAGCCTCGGTATGCGACCTCAACCCCCTCTTCAACCCCCGACAAAGCCACGTACCCTCTTCGTAGTCGTCTATCTCTTTCTCTCTTTCTCTGTAATTCCCGTTGTCCTCCTCGCGCTTCACCGAAAACACAGTCAGTCAGGCGGAGAGAGTTAGGTCGGTGGTGGAGGGTAGTAATAGTAGTAGCAGCAGTAGTAGTAGCAGTAGTAGTAATAGTAGTAGTAGTAGTAGTAGCAGGTAGTAAAAGGAAAAGGGTGATGCCAATGTCGATGGTGGTAGTGACGGTGGTAGTGGTGGAACCCGCGAAACTGACCGTGCAGGCGGTCCGCGCGTTGCGTTGCGTTGCGTTGATGTAACTAAATGATTGGGTAAATGATTCCACAGCGTGCCGCGAATAATTGAGTGGTGCTGGTGTGGGCGATGACTGTTGCCGATGCGCGTTCGTGTATGTATCTCTCTCTTTCGTTCTCTCTCTCTCACATACTCTTTGCATATCCCGTCTATATCTATAGATGGTATATCTGTATCCGAATGTACGTATATGCATTGATATCAGTGTGTTTCCGTATCATCGAGGGTGAACCGTTCACAGAGTACCTCCACATGGAGGAGTCACGTGGAGAGAGGGTTAACGTGGTCGGTCAGCCAGCAGCCGGTCACTCTCTCTTTCTCTCGATCTCTCGCTCTCACGTTTGCTCGCACGCGCGTGCATGCACGCTCGAGAATGTGTGCGTGGCACGCGCGGCCCACAGCAATGACGACGAGTCATCCACGCTAGAACACCTCGTTTCTCCCGTGGCACTCGCTCCCTCTCATCCTCACTCTCTCACTCTCTCTCTCTCTCGCGCGCTTCTTCTCTCGTTTCCTCTCTCCCTCTCCCTTTCCCTCTCACTCTCGCTCTCTGCGGCCACGCATATTCCATCTCGCTTGCTGACTGTCCACCTCTCGCTCGCACAGAATATCCCGCTCGGTATCCTTCTCTCGCTCGTACTACGCGCACGCTTTCGAGTGCATAGGCGAAGAGAGCGTATCTGTCGCGACCGTGTCATGATTTCGCGTTTGTTTACACCCTCACTCACTCTCTCTCTCTCTCTTTCTCTCATTCACTCTCTCTCTCTCTCTCTCTCTCTTTCATTCTCACTCTCTCTCTCTCTCTCTCTCTCTCTCTTGCTCTCTCGCACGCTCTGCGGTCGGGTGTTGGCAAATTTGCGTGGCCGCGGGGATATGTTTTCGTTTCCAATGATTTATGCGGGCAAATGGGTCGCGCGAGCGTGAAAGTGTCATGCTCAACGTTATCGATGACGGCTATCGATGCTCCGCATCGATGTTCTCTCGAGAATGCATTTCGACGTTTCCGAGAACCAATGACTTTTTTTACTTACCCTTATCATAAGATGATTTTGCAAAGATCAATGATGACTTTTTTTTTAATAAACTCTTTTATTTTCATTTATTTCATTTCATTTAGATAATTCGTTTTAGTAATTGATTGGAACAATTTGTTTTTTTTTCTACGATAAGATATAATCGTCATACGTTGACGTCATACTTTCTTCTTAATCGATTATTATTTTTTAATAAGGAATTTTTAAAATGTTATCCCTTCAAAATAATGGGAACAATTGAATTTATTTTTAAGAAGAGAAAAAGAAAAACTTTTGATGAAAACAATTTGATTTCTCGTTCGGTGAAATTAAAACGATCGTACTCGGGAGATCAACGTTTGCACATTATTCCTTCTACGTTTTATTATTATTCCTCCTAATCGTTCCGGACGTGGATACGTTCCCGTATTCGCGAGAAGCGTTTCAAGCGAGTGACAGCACCGGGGAAAAAATGAAATCGAGTTTCTGCCTGACAGAAGTGGGGTTCGTAATTTAAAAAACAATGGATGCTAAGGCACAATGAGGCCAAATGAGATAGGGGATGGTTCGTTGGGAAGGAAGGGTGTGGAACTGCACAAGGATAGGGGGTGAGCTTGAAATCCTATACTGGACGAGGGGAAGGGTGGATAAAGTGTAGGTGGTCAGGATGGCTTCTAGTGAAAAGTTCAAACGAGTCTCGTATTCGAAAAGTGGACAAACTTCGATGACACGTTCCGTTATTTTCGGTTTTTTATTTCTGCTTAAAATGTTATTACCAATATTATATATTACGCGTTTAAATTATAATGATAAAACTTATTCGCGATTTTTTATAATGTTTAACGAAAATTTATAAATTAACCGAAAATCAAAGAAAGTTTTACGAGACATCGCAAACCTAACTAAACTTCGTTTATAAATCCTTAACACAGCACGAGAGAAACTAAAGTAATACGTTTTAATTCCGAATTAGAAGCATTAAATCTTTGGTTCTTTGTTCAAGACATATCGCGCCGTTTGAAGTAAAGGAGGTTTATATTCATCACTAGCGGCTTCTATCGATTGTTGGTCTAATTGTGTTACTGTGAATGTCCGATTCACCCAACGGACCCCAATGCCGCTCAGAGAAGAACCGAAATACGACTGCCGTTCTCTGACGGGTAAAAAGGGTGGTTTGCATATTTTTTAACGTCGACGAAACATTCTGAAAATTAATGTAACTTTTAACCGTCAAATAGAAGGGCTTCCTAGGGCACTACCGAACTGCTTCCAACATTTTTCTGATACAAACATCGCGTATTTTCCGGTGAGTAGAGGAAAAGATTTTTGCGAATAAAAAAAAAAAGAAAAAATAAAAAATAAACGTGGAAAAACATTATCACGCTATGGAAAAATCTATCTACGATTTGAACAATGCGATATTTAATTCCTAATAACATTGGATAAACTCTTAAATATCCCATTTAACAATTCATTTTTCGCGTTAACTCTCGTAAAATAAGGGCGAGAGGTATTACGTTTGGTAGGACAAAAGTTGGTGGCCGAAAGGGAAAACGGGGTGAAGAAAAGGAAAGGGGTAAGAGCGTGTTAGACAAAGTAGGATAAAAGAGACTAAAAGAACTAGAGAAAGAAAGAAAAGAGAGGGTGGTGGTCCGCCTATTTGTCCCTTTGTGAGTGCCAAGCAACTGGATACGCAGTTAAATAATAAAGCAGCAGGTAGTCGCTTTGCTAATTAACAATACCTTTGCGTCTCTGCTAATTGTGCTTTACTTTGTTATATTGCATTTTAAGTGCTTCGTGTCGAGAATTATGCGCGTGCTCATGCGTTATTATGTCCATTAGTATAATGAACGAAGGCTTTCGTTAATTATTGCTATAATCTTGCAATACGAATATCATAGAACGCGAACGACTTATCTCTGAGTAATATTTGTTAAATAATTTCGTTAACTTATCCGACGCGCGAATTTAAGAACAAAAATTGTAGGTATACGCGTCATATTTTTCCACGTTGTTTCAAAACTACGGTTTATTATTAAATGATAACGGTTTAAACACTTACGGGTGGTGTGTATACTATAAATGTTTTCTATATACATATAAATACTATATACGTAGAGGAAAATACGTAGGTATATATCAAAACGACCACATCGATTTCGTCGGAGTCATTAACATAATTAATAATTAAAATCTGTGTACAAGCGGGGGGCAAGCTCTCTCGTGCTACGTTTTCTGCCTATTAAAGCAAAGCGTTTATCAAATAATTAACTCTCAACGCTCTTCTACGCGTCGAGTATACAACCGGACGTCGCATTTCATTAAGGTAAAACCTACAATGTAGAATTTTCGCTGGGAACATTTTGCGACAGTCATTACGCGAATAACGAGAACACTCGTCGAATACCACCCCGTCGTTCCTCTGTCTCTTGTCGCGAAGTGTCTAGAAAGAGTTTTGTTTTCTTTTCTTTTTATTTTTTTGTAAAACTCTACGGAAAGACGAAGAAAAACGCAAAAGTAATAAAAAAAAAAAAAAAAAAAGCAAAGCAAGAAAAAAAAAGCGAAGGAAAAGAAAGAAGAACAAGGAGAAGAAGAAGAAGAAGAAGAAGAAGAAGTAAAAAGAGGAAAGAAAAAAAAATAGAGAGAGAGAGAGGGTAGAAAAAGGAAACGCAACAAAACAAAGCTGAAGTTTCCATCGTCGAACTTAATTACGAAATCGATGCACTCGACTGACGTATCGAAAATCTTTGATTTCGCGAGCCGAAGCTCGAGACTAACGTGAAGTTGTCCTTTGTTCGTCGGGGCCACTTGCGCAGAAGCTTCGGACCTAAAATGACTCATGCAAAAGTAAATTATACATTGAAAGGGTTTAATATAATGAAACTCTCTCCATATGCATGAGAGAACCCGATCTGACGCGCTTTCTCTCTTCCTTTCTTTCTCTCTCTCTCTCTCTCTCTCTCTCTCTCTCTCTCTCTCTCTCTTTCTATCTTTATCTCTATCTCTCCCTTTCTCTCTCTCTCTCTCCCTCTCCCTCTCTCTCTTTACCTCCGAGACGTTTCTATGTATTACGACTGACGTATCGCGACTTGAATGAGACCAAATCGATCTTCCAATAATATTGATGAGTTTCCATAAACCATTACCATTTTAACATCTTCAAAATAAGATGAATCTCAAAAAATGAAATCAATTAGTTCTCAAATCCTCGGAACACATTTAATAAAATGAAATATATATATATATATATTTATATTTGAAAATATTGTATGATTATATTTAAAATAACAAAATAATTGTCGCTTATTATATATTTTGTTGTAATTAAATATATTATGATTATTATTTAACGATATGTGTAAATTATTAATATATGTGAAATATTAAAAGGAAAAATCACTTTTGAAATATCACGAAGAGCTAGCCAACCAACCAACCAGCCAGCCAGCCAGCCAACCAGGAGGACGACGATCGTGTGGTCGTATCTGTCGGAAGATAAAAGGACATCGGAATAGCTGAGGGATGAGAAAAAAAAACGAGTGTAAAAGAGATAGAATGAGAAAATGAGAGAGGGTAAGAGCGAAACACAGTGCACATAAAGAGAAAGAGAAAAAGAGAGGAAGGGAGAGAGGAGAGGGGAGGGGAAGAGTAGCGTTGGCAATTGCGTACGGGACTGGGTAGTGCGAGTGGCTTAGTTGCAGAAGGGAAGAAGCGGGGGGTGAAAAGGGTTGATGGAGTGGGGAAGAGAGAAGCGGAAAGCATCAAAAGCAATGTTTGGTGGCGCCATAATGAAATGAATTTATGCAGAGCCGTAATGCCTGAATATTTAGCAACCCTCTTCTGGTCCTATTCCTGGCCAGGCCCACGTCATCCTCCTCGCTATAGCGCGTTCGCATTAAATTCGACCACTGAACTTCCATTACAAACATCGGACTTGACCTCGGACCGCGAACATGATACTATTGCGTAAAGTAAAACCGTTATTTCGGAGATACCAATTCTTCTCCATCGTCTTATTTTCCTTGTCCTTACTTAAAAGGATCCTTCAAAGGATAAATGTAATTTAATCTAGATC